CACAGAGATTAGCGTTCATGGCATCAAAGGATTTCCTTCTGTACACATAGCACATTCCACCCATATGCTGGCATGCAAAGGGCAGAAATCCACCTAGTAATATGGCAATATGATCTCCCCAGACTCAGTCAGAGAAAGCAAGAGCCTATAATTTTCTAAAAAGAAATTTAGCTCAATTTCTTGTGTGTTTGGGTAAGATGCGTATCTAGATGTAGGAAATATTTTCTTATGTGTGTGATTAAAAACAAATAGTACAGCACTCTAGATAATAGCACTTTTTGCATAGCAAGCTGAAAGAAAGGAAAAGAAGTGCATCCTCTTTTCAAGGTAAAAGATGCTTGTTTTGTGTTGTCTTTGCGACCTTTTCCGGCATATCTGGAGCTGTGCTGAGGTTTACATTCAGAGCTTCCCTGGTTTAAATAGCACCTTGACTATTCTCCAGGAGCACTTGCTGACTCACCTGAGTGTAGGACGGGGTGCCTGGGGCCCCCTTTAGCTCCCTTTTACCTCCCCTTTCCAAATCTATGTAGTGGGGGGATCTTCTCTAAGCAGGAGATGAGTGGTCTGTCAGAGCTATTCTGGGCAATTCTGGCTGCACCAGAGAAATCAGGAAATGAACACTAGAGAGAGATTGATACTTGGAGGGAGAATTTTCATTCCAGGTCACAAGGAGCTCTCTGCAGACAAAAGCAAGGAGCAGGTTGACCCACCAGGAGGGTGCAGTGGGAATGCTTTGATTGCTAAGACTCCTTGACACATGGTAACAGCTTTTAATAGCTAGAAAATTTTTGTGTGGTTTCAGGAAAACATAGCATGTTTTCTGTGGTTATGGTAAAAAGCATTTTTGCCCATCTAGTGAGTGATGCTCAGGTATTTACAATATATTATGGAGCTGAATGTCACAGCTTATAGGAACATGAAAAGCCTCTATTGGGTATATTATTGGCCTAAATCCTAAATTAATACAAAGTTCACAAAGAAAAAAATCTTAAGATGAAAACTTTCTCTATTCTTCCATTACTGAAAGGAGATACTATATTTAGACTTATCACCTTTATGGCTATTTATTTACACTCTGGGGCAGGACCCAGACTTCTGTGCTATAAGAAATATTTGGCAGCAATAAAGAATTGGTAACAGGCTCAAATAAGATCTATTTTCCTTCACCTGTTGTTTTCAGAATTGACTGTGCCTACACCCTAATTATCCAACACACACAAACACATCCAATGGGCGTGATGGGAAGGCAGGGTAGAGCATTTGAGTTCTCCCTCCATTGGACGATATTTCGGGAGTTTCTCCAGATAAATCTTGGTTGACCTCTGTTTGATGAGTGTTCACTATTTTTTTTTTTCCTATTGCTGCTGTAAAACTTTACAAATCCTGTGTGTCTCTGCTGAGCCCCCACTGTCCTTTCTCCGTCCTTCTCATCCTAGAAACACACCCAGTGGATACGCAGCCGTGAGAACTTATACCCAAACTTCGCTTCCTTTATTTCAATTCATTACCAGGTGATAACTTAGTCAGTTTTTTCCCTCTAATATACATTATTTCTATTAATCAACTATGCAATCCTAAATGTGATTCTCTCCCTTGGCGTCTCAATGTGGGACAAATAATCTAATTAGAAACTTTCTTTTTAGGTTCTTTTGATTGCATTGTCCGCATCAGACTGTTCTATCCTCTTCAAACAGAAGAGCAGTAAGGCAGCACAATTTGCAATTATGGGTTAAAAAATTTTTTTTTGAATACACATTAGACAATATGTTCAAGATAAACGGTATTTCCCTACTCAGAAAATAATTCTGATTGATATGAAAAAGTACTAATACCTTAGATCTTAAATATTTTTGAAACTAATAGATTTGAAATTAATCTATGATGAAATGACTAACCTAAGAAATTGTATTTCGGCAAACACATTATTAACTAGAGAATCCTTCACCTATTCCTGAATTTGGAGAACTATTTTTGAAATTGATTTTGGAATTCCAAGAAGAGATGAAAATTTCAGTAATTTAGTTCTTTAAGGTTTTTCTCCTTATTCTGTTTCTTTGGAAATTTAACGGTGTCTCTGAACCATGTATCTCATAAAGATTTCTTTAAAACCCTTTATTTATTTGTTCATAGTTGCTTTCTCTTCTAAAATTGACTGAATAAAAGAAAACAATGATAATAATAACAAACATTTACATACTGCTTATTGTGGGCCAGGTACTTATTCCAGGTGCTTTATAGAAAGCAAATCATTTAATCTTCATAACTCAATTAGCTCAGCACCTTTAGTAAGCTCATTTTAGAGGTAAAGACACTGAGGCACATTTTTCAGTCAATCTAGAGCTAAAGTTCTTGCTTTTAACTACTATAGTATGTTGGTGCCATGTCAGTAATCATTTTTAAATGATTAGCTAGTTTTTGTCTCAATTTGTAATTTTCATTTGGCTTGTAAGTATAGACCTGTTCGAATCCAAGAGGCTGTTGCCTGCCCACCAGTAAGCCATGCAAGGTAGTGTCTGCCCTGGGAGCCCACGTTGCACCAGGGGCCGGTTCTCAGTCTGGCGGAGTGAGTTATGTCAGCACAGACAGTGGATCCATTTCTCCCAACAGATTCACATCAACCAAGCTCTTGAGATAGTGAAGCCACCTGACAAAGAAATTAAAGGGTAGAGCTCTGCTCAGCACCTTCTCCAGCTACAGGTGAACTCTAGGGGCCACTAAGGTCTAACTGCACCTCTGCTTAGTGGGGCCAGATCAGTACAGAGAGAGAGAGGTGATGTGATTTGATTAGCTGGCATCAGGTTGTTACAAAGTGATTGCTACACTATGGATAAACCAACTACTTAGATTAAACACACTAATCGTTCGGTCAGGGCCCCCTTGACCCTGAACCCAAACAAGGTTTGCTCATGTGACCCATCCTTCCCAGAGTTCCATTTCTGGCCAACTCCACCTGACGACCCAAATACAACACTTGGTTTAAATATGTTCATGTTATCAATTAGGCAAGTGGATTTCAGCCTTTTTTAAACCAAGTACACAGTAAGAAATATGTCTGAAATTCATATTATACAATGACCCGTCTTCCTCTTCAAGTTGCTGTAGCGTTTTATCTCCACTACCTTGCATTGGGTTTGTAGAGTGAATCTCAGAAGACAAGCTTGCAGGCATTGAGGAGGTACCTAATTGATGCTAGTTTCTTCTACAGACCGTGAAAACACAGCGTTTCTCACTGAGGGGGAAATTCTCCCACCTCCCAGAGAAAAGCTGCTTCCTGTCTGTAGTGCAGTGCAGTAGCTGCTGTAACCTAAATGCGTTCAAGTTGTTCATTTATTCAATAACTCTTTGTTAGGAATCTATTATTTACACATAGTTCAGTTAGGCAGATAACTAATTGAGTTATTAATTTTGCATAAAGTAGAAAGTGCTGCTCCTGACACACTGTTGTGAGAAGTCTTCGGCACTGTGCGTCTCTAAGCAGAAATACCTTATTCAAAAAATAAATGCTTGAACAACAGCCAATTATAATTATAATTGGCTATTGTTCTTTAGTGGTGACACAACTAGCATCTTAAAGGACAACCAAAAACACAATGCAAAACTATTTAACTGTGACCCTCAGATTTGGACTCCTACTCCATAGAGTATGCTTTAAAAAGCACAGATTTCAGATCTATGTTGCTGAATAGCTGCACACAAAGGTTACTTTCCAGTATTTTTTTTCTTGGCATAAAAAAATTCCCCCTCCTCTGCAAAATCCTTCTTGGCCACAGTATCCACTGTGAGAGCTTGTTCGTGTGATTCCTTTCATACTCACTTTGCTTGTATGAATTTGTGACATCGCTCATGTCACTGCTGACATGCATTAACTCCTGCACTGATGGCTCCACCTTCTCCTTCGTGAGTGCTCACTGCCTACTGAATTAATGCTCTTTTAGGACAGACTACTGACCTCAGCTGTCACCATGCAGCGCTAGGACACACAGCGTGAGGGCAGGCACCCACTGAGCCTGTGGAGTGAATGTGCCCCTGGTCCCCAGGCTCTGGGGAGGGCAGAGCCCATGGCCAACAGTAATGGCCGATGGGCAGCCTTCAACAATCTGCTTTCAGGAAAAGATTCGATTTGAACAATCTGTTCTTTCTTTTCAAAGGGCAGTTTTCAGCATACCTTTTGGGTTACTTTTGTATTGCCATGAAAAATACAACAAGAAAGTAACTTCCTAGAAGAAATTTCTCTACTTTAATCAAAATCTGCTTTTGGCTACCAGACCTGCCTGTCCCAAAGTGCTCATTCTCAACTTGCTTCTTCTGTGTTCCCACCAAGAGAACCATCACTTCTATGGGGCTCTGCCTCCTGACAGAAACAAAACAAAACAAAACAAAACAAAACTCAAAAGTGCTATGATTGTCCCCAGCTGTTGAAAAAGGGAAAGCCATGATGTTTTTGTTTATAGACTGGGTCTCTTTCTTTCTTCCTTTCTTTTTCTTTCTTTCTTTCTTTTCCTTCCTTCCTTTTCCTTCCTTCCTTTCCCTTCCTTCCTTTCTTCCTTCCTCCCTTCTTTCCTTCCTCCCTCCCTCCCTTCCTTCCTTTCTACCTTTTCTCTCTTTCTTGTTGTCTAGAAACAGAAACTAAAATAGAGGCTATAGCAATGTTTTATTGACTATTAAAAAGAGATAGGACCATCAGGGAAATGTGGAGGTGAGGGAGCTGTACAGTCTCAGATCCACGAGCCCTCAGGACGCTCATGCAAAACTCCCCTTCTGAAGCTCTTTCAGAGAGATGGGAAGGAGAGTGAAATAAAAAGAGAATTTTACCCAATGTTTGACTTTAAAATGAAAAGTGAGAGCAGGAAAGAAAGCTAATAGGAGCAGGCGCTTGTGGTGTGTGTGTGCACATGTGCATGTGTGAGTGCACGTGTGTGTGCACACGAGTGTGTGTGTGTTGGGGTTTGGAGGAATAGGCTGAGTGCTAGGGAAATGCAGCGACATAAATCGGGCTTGTGCTGAGTTTCCTGCTTTTTTATTGGTTTGCTCCCTGTGGTGCTTTCACTAAAACTGCTTCCTCTTTCTCTACATTTATTTTGTTCCCAATCCAGAAGGTCTTGGACGATATTGGTGAGATGCCAAACATCTGGGTTTGGAGAAAGAAGGAGAGAGAGAAAGAGAGAGGAATCTCCACAGTTAAGTAACTTAGTCTTTATGTGTCCAACGGGATGCTCTGGATGCTGTGACCTGAGAGGTCTGATGGCCTTCCACTTGCCCGACGTCTATTGAGCTCTGTGAGAATCACGCATGATGCTCCATCTGTTTAAGTAAGAGATAAATAAGATGTAGTCAAGTTTATGACATTTTCATAATAACTAGAGTTATCATAATTACGCCATACTCAAATATGTTATATTCTAATATTTTATATATAATTTCTATGTGTCTCATTATTAAAGCTCCCACTTTTAGAGTGTCGCTCTGTGCCAGGTCCTGAGACAAGTGCTTCACATACATTAGCTCGTTTAATCCTCACAGTAATCCCAACAGGTAGGTGATCAGGGTTATCATTCCTCTTGTATAGTCAAGAAAACAGCTTCATAGAAGCTCCATAACTTGCTCAGTATCGCCTAGTTAGAAAATGGTGTCACTGATATTTAAATCCGGGTTCTTCTGACTTGAGAAGCCCAGACAATGATCTTTTTGACATTTCACTTGATTACTGCAAATATTTATACAAATAATGAAATTAATAAATGAGCCAGTGAGATCCCCTACTTTGTTCATTTGAGGATGTTTACTTAAAATGTTGGTTTTAATTTTCTCCACTTAACTTCTCTACCTGTGTATATTCTTCAGTACTCAACAAAAAGGAGTTGTGAGCTGTTTTATCAAGGAGAAAATTTTAAAACATTCAATAAATTTGAGGTTCCATACTTGCTATAAATAATTAATTTAGAGAAAAAGTAAGGTTAAAATGCATTGACCATAATTGTGACAACTATACTTGTACCAACCACATTTCTTCTTTCTGAATTCTAAAAGATTGAGCATAAATGCTATGAATCACCTAATATTTTTGATATATAACTCCTTCAGTTATCTATTGCTGTGTAACAAACTTCTCCAAATTTATTAGCTTAATGAAATGACTAGTTTATTACATCTCACAAATTTTGTGATTTAGAATTCAAGAATAGCTCAGCTGAGCGATTCTTCTGCTTCATGTGACATCAACTGGGGTCGCTCAGTGGTTTTTAACTGATGCTTGGGATGGTCTAGAGCTGTGCTGTCCAATTATGTATAAGCATATAGTTTTAAATTTTCTGATAGCCAAATTTAAAGTATAAATAAGTAGAGTTAACTTTAATAGCATATTTTATTTAACCCAAATATCAAAAAGATTGTCATTTAAACATAGACTCAATGCAAAAAATTTTAATGAGTTTTCGGATACATTTTTGAAATCCACTGTGTGTTTTACTCTTACAGTACATCTCATTTTGGACTCTGGACATTTCGAGGGCTCGAAGCCATATGGCTGGTGGCTAGTACATTGGATAGCGCAAGTTCCTAGATACTTCAAGATATCTTCACTGCCACACTTACCACCCTGCTGGAATTGGCTGGAAGGCTGGGCTCAGCAGAGCCTCTCTCCTTTCCCAAGGATTCTCATGATTTCCATGTGGTTTCTCTTACAGGTAGTCAGCTTTCTTACAAGGTATCTCAAGTTTCTAAGAGACTGAGGTGGGATCTGCCAGTCTTCTTAAAGGGTGGGTTGTGAACTGCCATAACATCATTTCTTCTGTCCTGGGTACAACAAAGCAGTCACAGGGCACCCCAGAATCAAAGAGAAGGAAAAGTGCCCCCCCTCCCCAATGGGAGGATGATCAAAGAATTTACAGCTCTCTTTAATATGCCAACAAAACATATTAGTTTATCTCAAAGTATGACACAGTAAAGTTGTGTACTTTAAAAACCATTTACGTCCGTTAGTAGGATATTGAGACACAGTATATAGCAGAAGTGAAGCAATAGTTACACATGTTTTGTAGACTCTGGAGAACTATATTAATATGTGAATTGATTATAGATATTTAGAGTCATATATACATGCTTTTAGAAATGAGAATGTATCATATGTGATTTATTTCATATTGGATTCTTGATTAATAACACTACACCTAACACCAATATTGTTCCTATGGGGAAATATAAACCACTTTTTCTTGTTCTACCATCTTTCCTGATGCTACCACTGTACCATGTGAAAGCAAGGGTGCCTTATTTTAATTTTACAGTTAAAACAAAGCATTACAATTTTTTATCTTATTTCTATTGGAACTTTTATTTTAGTAATTGCTTTGCCATGGAGGTTCTAAATAACTCTAAATCTTGTTTGGATGAATATTTAGCAAACTGGAGATTGTCATTTGTTTTCAAATAACCTGCTGTAAATATGAAAGGAGTGACCGTAAGCAATTACGAAACAAACAGAAACTTAGGGACTTATTTTCCTTTTTAAAAAAAAATGTACAGCTGTTTGGATAGTTTAGATGAAATCTCATTTATATTGATCAATAATTTATGAGCACCAACTACCGAAAATGAAATTAAAGCACGGGGAAGAAGGAAGTCAAAGAACCGCTGTCTCAGGGTAGTAATACATTGTGATTCTGAAATATATTTGTTCTGTCACTAACGTAGAGAATAGCAGTTGAGCTAGACTAATTTAACATTGCTATCAAAAGTCCTTGACTATCCTCAAGGAGGAGGAGGCCTCTGTAACTAGTCACAGGTTTCACCTAAACTCATTGTTTTTGACAATGATTAGTCTCTGCTTTTGGGCTTGTTTATGCTCTGCTGAGCAGAGCTGAGATTAGAGAGTTGATCAGTTGTGGTGATATCCATAAAGGATCAACCGAAAAATAGAGCGTTACGTGAATTGGAATTGAATCCCCTGCCACAGCAGCCCGAATGAATTTACCCGGCCTATCAATCCTCAGATTTCATGATGTGCCTGAAATACCAGGTAATTGAAAATGTAATCACTAAGGCTAGAAAGAAGAAATTATATTTTCAGTTAAGATCTTTACTGGATTATGCCGAAGATGCCAATATACAAGCTTGCTCGTAAACCAGACAGTTTATTCAGTGTGATTTGGTGATTCAGTCATTTCGATTCTCCTACAGAGATCTCCAGAAGTTTCTATACTAGAATTTGATGTGGGAGTTTGGAGGGCAGAATGATCAATAAATTTTCTATTGGTTTATAAGGCTCTTGACAAATTTACTGTCTCAAAAGGCCTGCATTGAATAAGAACTCTTATCCATGGTGTACACGGAATAAGTGAGACATCAGATTAAAATTAATCTTGTCAATTTAGGACCAAGAAACAAATAAGATAGATTAATCACATTAAAATTCACTTACTTTCATTCATTCAACTGACTTTTTACTGTCTCACTATATTCTTTCCTTTAGTTTTACACTTATTGCCAAAGAACAGTCGGTAGGAGGAAGGTGATCTAATATTTACAAAACATGAATCTTTAAAATCCATCACTATGTGCTACGGACTGCGTAAAGCAATTCACCTTTATGCTCCTATTTACCGCTCATGGCAAATCAAGGGAAAGACTATTATTACCTCCATTTCACAGATGAGGAAACCGAGGCTGGAGGTAATGAAGTCACTTGCCCAATATTCCACAGCTAATGAGGGCAGGTAAGCGATGTGAACACAGGTTTGCTGTCTCTAGAACTCTAGTTATTAACCGCTATGCAACAGCAGCAGTAGCAGTAGTCCCAGTGGTAGTAATAGTAGTAGTAAATAACTAATGGTTACAGGGTACTCACTGTATCGCAGTGCCTGACATTCATCCCAAGCAGCTGGCCTGGAGCCTCCTTGGACTGAGTCCCCCCAGAGAACGGTGCTAGACTCCTACAACAGTGCTCAGTGGTCAGCAGGTTGCCCAACACCTAGTGAGTTCTGAGGCTCTGCCTCTCCCTGTGGAAAGTTTCCCCAGCACCCAGAGGGGAGATTTCCAGCAAGTCCCAACATGCGACACCTGAGTGCCTTCTCTGCCATCAGTGAGTCACAGCTGTGCCCTTCACACCAGGTCTGGGTCCCAGCAGTGTGTTGATCTGGGCAGATCCTCCTAGAGTGCTCTCTCTCAGTCCTCTCAGTCTTGGTTCTAAGTTCTTTAGCATTCTCTGTAACACTCAACAGCCAAGTTCCCTTGACTCCAATCCTCCATTAATCATTTTTTTATATTAAACTATGTTTCTAAACATTGTGTGGTTTCTGTGGTCTCCTGACTGGACTCAGACTAATAAAACATCTTATTTTCATAAAATTTCCATAAACAAAGACAATCATTGGCTCTCTCTCTTTTTTTTTTTTAGCAGGCAAAGCAACAGAGGCACAGAACAGTAAATATGCTTTCTTGAACCTTCTAGTTCTGAGAATTGATAGGATTGGCTCTCCTTTATGCCCCCTCATCTTTCAAAGGTCAGAGAGGTTCCAGGGGTTCCATTGTCAGTCAGTACTCACAACTTCACAATGCTTTAACTTCCAACCAGCGCCCTCTTGTGGACTAAATTGTGTTCCCTCAAAATTCATATGCTGAGGCCCTGACCTCCCAATGTGCCTATATTTGGAGAAAAGGCCTCTAGGTAGGTAATTAAGGTTAAATGAGGTTATAAGGGTGGGGCGCTAATCTGATATCACTGATGTCCTTATAAGAAGAGGAAGAGACACAGCAGGAAGGCCATGTGAGGACACAGTGAGAAGGCAGGTGTCTACAAGCCGAGGAGAGTGGCTTCACAAGAAACCAACCCTGCTAACACCTTGATTTGGACATCCAGCCTCTAGACCTGTGAGAAAATAAATTTCTCTTGTTTAAGACCCCTGTCGGTGGTACTTTGTTATGGCAGCTTTATCAAACTAATACACACCACAAAGCTGGTGGATCCCTACCCCACACTTCTAGCTTCAGTTGTTTACCACACATCTCCACATGGTTTCCAAACTTGAACCTTATCTGCCAAGTAGTCCTCCTCACAAATCCATCCTAATTAATGGCCTTGTTACTCAATGGAGTCACTGAGTCACAGGGCTCAGAATCTTTCATTTCTTCATGACAATTCTAATTACAAGATATTCAAATTCATTTCCTCCTCTGTTTCCTATACCACTTGCTTATTTTGTGATTTCATTGTATTTTTCTTTTACCTTTGCTGAAGGCAAGGTGATCTCAACATCTCTGATCCCTCTGCTTCTGGTCCATCCTTTTTCACTCCATACCTTAAATCTTGGTCTGATTATGTCACTTTAAAAGCCTGTAACAGTCTCTTGGTCACAGAACCATTTCCCAAACCACATCTCACAAGATGTACCCTAAGAGATAGTCCTATAAAAAGGGTTTTGTGGTTTCCCTCACAATGCCAAAATGTGTAGTAAAGGCTCATAAAAGACTTGCAGAAAAATCTTCTATTTAATTTTATTTAATCCAGCATTTTTCAAATTCAGGAACTATCTCCCTCACCTCCTCCATCCCCTTTTTCCCTCTTTGCACATGTTTGGAAATGTTGATATATATTCTTTTAGCCTGATGGCAGACTCAGTGATCGTCGCCCTGCTGTGGACACTGCCAGTGCCCGCCCACAACTCCCTGAATGCCTTTATTGTTTCTGAGGGACTCGCTCAGTCTCCTGGAGCCCTTTGCCCACCTCCATCCTTTGGGGTGACCTGAGGCTGGGGCTGAAGGATGCCAGAGAAGCAGGAAAGTCCAGCTCTCTTGCCTCAGGTCTAGATGCCCTTAAGGTGTTATTTACATCGCAGAGTGCCTCTGCAGGATCCTGCCGACACTGCCATCGTGGGAACTTTGCCTGAAATCATACTCTCTTCCCTTCCCTGGCTAGCTTCTTTCCCTTCCCTGTCCTGCTTCCTCAATTCCTGCACCAGGTTCTCCTGGGAGCTTTCATAAACCACTTACAGCAAATCCTAGTCTCAAGGTGTGCATCTGGGGAGCTTGACATAGAAAGTCCTCCAAGATGCTTTTCAAATCTCTCTTATGATGTCACAGTGATGTTGTTGGAAGAGAGCAGTCATTCCATCCTTTCTACCATAGTGATTGGCTCAGGAGGGAGAAAGCCTAAGCCCGTCAATGAACAGCATTGTCGGGGCACAATCCAGAACTGGGATTAGTTCCAGAATGAGCATATGCCCCAGTCAGACCAATGAACGTGAGGAGGGATTGGAGTACAATTAGACGTGACAGTCAAGACCAAAGGCATTTATTGTGAAATAATCATTCCTCTATCTGAATGTGATTCCAGAGGGAAGTTAAAGCAGTAAAGGACGACGAGTTGAGACTCTATTTCCAGTGACAAGTTTCTTTAGAGATGCCTACCTGAGCCGGTAAGTATGAATAACAATGTTAACCAGATCACTTTGTAAAAAGAAGCAATGTCAATATAGTTCTAATATATTGAGAGGTTACGTATTTTCATTTGGAGAAACCTAAACAAGCAGTTTTATAGTCACAGAAACAGAGGAATTTACCTCCATAAACTTCATAGTAGCCTAGGATGAAGGCTTTGCAGAAATGTTCCGAACCCTTCTACATCAGTCGTTCACAAAGTGTGGACCCTAGACCAACAGCATCAGCTTCATCCAGGAACTTAGAAGTACAAATTCTTGAGTTCCATCAAAAAAACTACTGAAATAAAATCTTTGGGAGCGGGGCCCAGCAATCAGTGCTTTCATAAGCCCTCTCTTGATTCTGCTGGGTCCCAAACTATGAGAAACTGTATGAGTGTTCACACTTTACCTCTCATCTCTCCTCTGCCATTCCGTTCACACCCTTGTCTTTCCTGCCTGCACATTTCTGAATGTAATGTGCTCTGTCATCTATCCTGACCATTGCTTTTATTCCAAATACTGTATATTATGAAAATAATCAATTCAATTCCATATGTTTTATCCATTTTTACCTCAGAAATAACTTGCTTCTCATTGCCACCATAGCAAATAATGTCTCAGCTAAAGTTTTCTTAATATTTTACAAGTGCTCACTGTGTCCAGCATGATACTTTCTTAGAGGGAGAGATATGTATGAATGTACATATATATGTGTGTATATATATACGAAATATAATGATTTTCATGAAGCAGCCTGTTAATTTTCTTCTAACAAAGTATTGCAAGCATTTCACTTTATAAAGATAACTTTGATGCCTTTTTTTAACCCCTAATTAGTTAAAAGTAATTCTACAGTTGAGTCTCATTGTTAAAAGTTTTCAAATTGCTTGGTGCTTCCCACCTATCCTCAACAATATTTAATAATGCTTCGGGAAAGTTCATTTATTTCTGCTTTTGTGTTTTGCAAATGGGTTTTGTTTTGCTCTGCTATGATTTTGAAAGATAATTCTCTCTAGATAATCAAGTTAAGTAGATGAATTTCAGTATAAAATATGACCAGAATTCTTAAATACTCAGAAAACTGGGTAAGAGTAATGAATTGTTTTTTATAAAGCTATATAGATAGTCAAATTTTTATAAAAACATTAATCTAGAAAATACTGACTGGAGGCAGATAATTTCCAGGTTAACATTCTACATTATAATGACAATTCATTGTTAAATGATAATTTTGGATAACATGAACATTGCTCTTTAAACCCTTTCTCCTAAACTGGAAGATCTTCTTCTACCTGGATCTCTGCTTTTCAATCTGAGGAAATAGAGCTCAGGAGAGTGAGGGAAGGTGAGGGGGTGAGGCAGCCCCAGAGAAGGGGTGGGGGGAGGAAACGTGAGGAAGTTCCTTTGCTTGTAAGCTCTTTGGAGAAGGATAGACGTGAATACACACATGTAAAAAGAAACATGGCTTTATTATGGAGGAAATTGTGAAATTTACATGATCTTGATTCCAATTCTTAGCTAAAAAATAAAAATAAATACAAATCTCAAGGCCAAAGAAGAGATTTTTCTTTTTCACAAGCTGAGGGTTGGAGAACTATTTGGCTGGATCCCGCTGGAGCTGTTCCTACTTCTCTAGTTTCCTTGTTTCCCCTGGCTCTCTGAAAACTCCAAATTGCTTAGATGATGACTCCTAAATTAGTGACGATTTTGTTTTATTTTGCTTTAGCTTTTGCTTTTCCTGGGGTGATAAGCGAGGAGGTAAGAATTGCAGGATGGAGGGTAGAGAACACTAGCAACATTTATTTACCTGTGTTAGTCACCCGTAAAGAAAGCCTAAGACGAGAAGGTACATGTTATAAGTGAGAATCATTCTGAGCCTGCATTTTTTTAACCAGTAAAATGAGGTGACAAAACCTTCCTACTTATTTTCTTAGAAGATATAAATAAATCGATTTGTAAGAATTCCTCACTTGCCAGAGCTCAGTTAATGCTCCTTCCCTCTGCCTGTTCCACATGCATGCACCCTTAAACACCACCGTGAGAGTCAAAGAACTCTTGGAATTTGGGGGAGCATATTAGATTGCCACATGTAATGAAAGACTTCACCTTTGTAAAACTGGGCTGTGTGCATGCATAATGTATGCCCAAGTACCCAGGTATATCATCATAGAGTTAATTAATTCAAAGGCAGCTATTAAGATTTTGCACTGAGCTAATTCCAATTCAGTATACTAGGGCTAGCAACTGCCAAAAGAGCTGCTCTTTGAATATTTTATTAGAAAACTTTACTTATAAGAAAAATTAAGTGTTATTCTACCCCCTGCTGCATAAAACTGCTTTCCATTTTCATGGTGTCCAGGTATTGAGGCCCTGGGCCTGCTCCCCAGCAGCGTTTCCTGCCCGTGGATGCTTCCTCTGCTAACTTATGTGTTACAATTGCTTGCTGTTCACTGGAGAGGATTTTTCACAGCTACTTCACTGAGGTCTGGACTCCTATATATTCCTAGAACAGTGATTCTTTCAGAAAAGCTCATTTAAAAAATATTAGACAGAGAACAGCTCTTTCTTGAAAGCAGATTTTAGGCTTGAAATGTATTCCACAAAGGCACACGGTGTTCTAAGGGTGTGATTCAGAAGAAGCCCCTGGAAGATTATGTTAAAATATGTTGCATCAGTATTTCTCCAGATCCTTGAATTTGTGAATATTTCTTACCACACGATTTAAAACTCTACCTACTTTTTACCTTGTAGATAGAGAATCAGTATGTCTAATCCATCATAATCAAAACCAAGCAAAAGACAAAACAGGAATGTGGTAAGTTAGAGCAAGGCAGCTGGTTTCTCTTCCTCATGCTCAGTGACCATTGTGATACTGGTTGACCCCCTACAGTGAGTGAGACATGAGGCTCTGGAGGAGGACCACAGAAGGAAAAGCTAAGCTCTACAACCTTGGGCAAGTTATTTCCCCACTCTGTGCCTTGACTTCTCAATCTTAACACGGGGATGATGCTGACAATAGTACTAACATCCAAGGTTATTACAAGGATGAAATGATCGTGAAACGCTTGGAAACACGCCACAGTGAGAATGTTCTCACTAAGCGTTGGCTATTACTGCTAAACACATATTTCAAAGATGTCATTTCCCATGATTTAACCTTGGGTAATTCAAATTGTGAAAATATGCTACTGAATATAGAGTGCTACAATTCCAAAGTTTTGAATTTTCCTTGTAACAGTAACATGCGCTTATATTTTATTGATTTCCAGCTAAATGATGACTTGTCAAGATCATTACTTTCATTATATTAAATACTCCTCTGTAATTAAGTTTATATGCAACTAAATAGAATTTAACTACTTTCTTTCAGAAGTCCATTACAGAAGTGCAATAAGCAGATATAAAAAATTTAGGATCATATAATAAAAAGTGTTAACTTATTTTATTTTAAAATCTAGAAGAATTGTATGGCAAAACAGTAGTGGAAAGTTGTAAATAAGTAATGAAAATAATTAAAATTATGTAAAATTTTAAAAACAAAGGAAAATATTTAGTATGCATTTAAATTCAATGAGCATTTACTGAACTTCAGCCATGATCTAGATTGAATGAATATAATGCAGTCGTTATCTCAAGAATCAGTGGGGGAGCCAGACAGATCAACAAGCAGCTGAGTGCAAAGTGGCAAGTGCTGTAGAGAGAGACATGTAAATTACTGCAGGAACTAAATGAAGATGGAGCAGCAGTGGAGGAAAAAGATGTTTTTAAAGAAATGAATGCATTTTTTAAGGTTAAGCAAAAGGGAAGAACATCTTATTATTCCGGGAAATGCAATTTAAAATAAGAGGATATCATTTCGCACACATCAGATTGACAAAAATTAAAAGGATGACAATATCAACTGAATGGGAAGATGTCTAGAAATAGAATACTCATTTGATGCTGGGGGGAGTGCAAATTGGTACAAACACTTGTGGAGCAATTTGACAGTATCCAGTAAGACTGCAAATGCACCTCCTTATGCTGCTCCACTCCTATGGATGCATCCCCGAGAAACCCTCAGAGAGATGCACAGGAAACAAGAAGATGAACATCCATAGTAGCACTGTTCACAGGGTGAAAAATTAGAAATAATCTAAAAGTTTATCAGTAGGGAAATGAATAGTAACCTGTTGTTACATATTGTTTTATTTTTCATACGATAGGTTTCTGTACAGCAGCTACAAGTAAGAAAACAGGTCTGTATTTATCTCAAAAACATAATTGAATTATGTGGAATGAAAAGGTAAATTTAAAAAATACATATACAGTCATATCATTCTTCTGAATAAAAAAATACAAAGGTATACACACGCATATGCATTTTCCTACATACACACACAAACTAAGAATACAAATTCAGAGTACAGTCTGTCTCTGGGGAGGGAAGAAGAAAGGGCCTGGAAGGAAACAGGGAATTTAAATTGTGCATGCAGTTCATGATGCCTTTAAACAAATCTGAGGCAAATTTGAGAAAACACTAATTTATTTGCAATTGAGTGGTGTGTAGCATTTTTATATTATCTGTTGTACAGAGTTCCAAATATTCCTTCCTAAGTGGAAAATTAATGTGAAGTCTCCTGTTTTATAGTGAAAGGTCATACAAAAAAGAAAATTAGAGACTAATTTGTGTTAGCAAGTTTCTTTCCTTAAAAAGCAAAGCAGTTAGGATCTCCTTCTCTTTTTTCCCCCGTTTCTCGAATATACCCACATCTACAGGCTCTCTGCTTGTGCTCGTCACTATGGACAGAGACTCCAGGTCCCCTTCCCGAATGACTTTATTTCAATATTTGTTTTCTTACAACCTATTCTGGTTACAGAAGCCAGAGCAATCTTTCAAAAAACAAGTGTAAGTTAGATCAACTCTCTTACATGCTTAAACTGCTTCCAAGACCACCCATCTCACTTAGAACAACACCCAACCCCTTGTACTGGCTCATGAGGCCCACCATAATCTGCTCCTGCCCTCCTGGCCTCTGCACCTACCACTCTTCCTACTTTGGCCATAATTTATGCCTTTCCCTCGAACCAACCAAACTTGCTAGCTGCCTAAGGCTGCATTAGCTGTTCTCTCTATCTAGAATGTTCTTTCCCTTCATCTTTAGATGACTGTCTCCTTGTGGTTCAGATCTTACCTTCTCGAAAGAGGCTTTCCCTGACCTACGGGAGACATCCCATTTACGTCTATCATGTAGGTTTGTTTTAATTCTCTGCATAGTGCTTCATTATAGATATTTTCTTGTTTACTTACTTATTGTCTGCCTCTCACTCACTTGATCAGGGATGCTGTTCAGCTAATTCAAGCTGTATCACCAGAATGTAGAACCATCACACATTTTCAGTAAATCTTACTTGAATAAATGAATGAACGAGACTGTCCATAAAGATCTAAACGTTAAAATTCCTTATGGATTGATTGATCCTTATTTTCTTCCAAAACATAGTTGCTCAAAAATACAGCACGTTTTTGATAAACAATTATCAAATGCAAAATCTCGAACGTTATTGGGAATGCATTTTAATTATATGAATGGAATAATTTTCATTCCATTTTTTCATGTATCCATTCATGAATTTTACTTATTGCTAGGATGACTTAGAGTTTGGCATCAATTGTGTTCCTATTTTCTTGTTTTTGGAGATATCCGTGCTGAGCAACCTTGTTCAAATTAATAAGTAGAAGGTCATGAAAGTGGTTTAACAGCAGTGTCACACAGTCTTTGGTTAAATGTTGAATATTACTGCGCTCTACCATCAAAAACACTTTTTTTGGGTGATGGATCAGCTGAAACTATTACGCCTCCTTCTGTGTTGTTGAAAGGAGAGATTTGAAGACCGCTAGACTTGAAAAACTGTCATTGACATTGTCAGCACAGATCCTAACATTGGGGCCTGGCGCTCTGTGGGGTGCTCCAGGGCTGGGCTCCTTGTGCAATTCATGGGGACAAGTAGAAGGAATGCCTATTTTTTGCAAGGTGGGAGGAGGGTGATTGTGAAAGAGCCACAAAGAAGAGTTTAATGACCTCAGGAATGTTCTTCAGAAGGTCAGACTTAGCCAAAAGTACACCTGGGAAAAATAAAAGCCCGTATAGAAGTGGATGTACATCATGCCCCTGTAGCCTGGGGAAAGTACACCCAGTTTGAGCCCCATGGGCCTAGAACCACAGGAAACTGAAGCCTTAATGGGCAGGTGCAAGGACACAGGAGAGGAAGGTGGTAGAAAGGGAAGCGGGAGGATGCCAAAGGCAAGGTTTGCTATTTTAGGTTTTTGAATATTATTAGACCTGTATGCCTTCATGGGCACAAATCCCTCTCCCCTCTTTATCTTCCTGCCTGGATTTCTCTCCCATTTGCTCTATTTCCTCCCTATTCTAGAATTCCTTCTCACAGCAGCTTTTTCAGTATGCTCTATTACGGAAACATTGGGGACTAATTATTTGCAGAGATTTGTCAGGCAGCCATACTATTTTTCTCTCTCTATATATATTTAAAAAAACAATTGAGTTCCAAAACAAGACGTACAGATGTTTGAAGTAAGTTTTCTTTTCTTTTTCCCACATGTTTTAGAGACTTGTAAGAGAAGAGATGGGGATGGTTTGGGTAAAGAAACAAGATAGCTCCTTTCTGACAGTCCTGAAATAGATTAATAGCTTCATTCGTAACCTTTGAAAATGATTCACAAATGCAACTGCTCTTCAGAGTTCTCAGGACAAACCGTGTAATAACCACGTGGGCCCCCCTCTGCTGTCTGCAGCTAGGGCCCCCGTCCGAGTGCAGGTGCTCTGGCAAACCACATTTCATCATGTTCTGTCGACTGGCCGGTGATCCCAAACAGATAACCACAATGAATGCTTCCCGATGTCACCGTGAAACAACCCCCATTATCTCTGAGATAAATCAGAGAAGGGAAAGAAAGCAGGCTGAACGCCATTTCAGCCAGTATAAAGGAAAGCACTGTGAAGGGTTTTTTTCTTGTCTTTAGTATACTGATAAGTATTTTTTTTCTAGAATAAAAAATACAGAACATGAGAATAACGTTCAGGATGAGAAAGCACCAACATATTTAAGGACATAATAGGTTAACTGAGTATTATGGTTATATGTTAGATTTCCTTTGAAAATTTTATTTTTGTCTTCCTGGAGATCTTTTGAAATAGCTTTTCACGTGAATAATGATAACTATATTTTTGGAGTTTTCAGTCTGCTTGTGTTGTTCAGGAGATTGAAGTGCAGCGTTTTTCAGACTTTTTTCTCCCTGACATGTCTCTGCCTACCTAGTCCACTGTCACCCTGCTTTCCTTAGGGATCACGAGCATAACTTCCTGGGGGTGTTCACTGCTCTTCAAAGACTCTTGCACTTGACTGCAATTCCATCCTCCAGCAGTTTCTAGTTTTCTCTTTGCTTTCCTTCTGGCATCTCCTTACTGAGTTTGAACATTCTCCAGGTTTTCTTGCCTGAAAGGGGAAAAACAACAACCACAACGCCTGCTGGGTGATTTACCCTCTCCCTCAGCAGCCCATTGCACTTCCACCCTTTTCTCCAAGCATGTTGCCTTCAGCCTCTATCCTCTTTATGCAAATAGACTCTTTTATCAAGGGCGGTGAGCAGACCCAGGACAGAGCAGAAACAAATCCTCACATCTGAGTCTCCATCCCTCTGCTGTCCTGGGGCCCTGTGGATGGTGGACGGTTACCCAGGCCTCCTGCCATCCTTTGGGTTTTAGTTTTCATGGAAATTGCCTGCTCTGCACCTGCTGAGCTCTTGCGTAAACAGGGCCTTGTGGAGCTGAGACCAAAGACGGGACCCGTGAATCACAAGGACCCCCTCCTTGTGAAACTTGCAAGATCTCTGACAGGAGGAAGTGGCGATCTGAGGGGCTTTGGGAGTCGTCGTGGGGAGACATCATCAAAGCAGCCCTATGAGGGGCTGCACTCTAGAGTGCGGGAGTCGTTTATCATGACTTTTGCTTCTTCTGAAAGCCAGCCAGCTGTGTAAGCTGAGGATACGCATTTTTATTAAAAAAAATAATAATTAGAGGGGCTGGCCTCATGGCCTAGTGGTTAAGTTCGTGTGCTCCACTTTGGTGGCCTGGAGTTCCCTGGTTCAGATCCCGGGCGTGGACCTACACATCACTCATCAGGCCATGCTGTGGCAGCATCCCACATAGAAGAACTGGAAGGACGTACGCTAGGATATACAACTATGCACTGGGAAATTGGGGAGGAAAAAAAAGGGAGATTGGCAACAGATGTTAGCTGAGGGCCAATCTTCCTCACCAAAAAGCATACCTTAAAAAAAAGAAAATAATAATAATAATTAGAACATCAGCAGCTCATGACTAAAAACAGAATTTGGTTATATATATAAATGATTCTTCCATTTCCCACTCTACTCCCACTTTTCTGAAATAATCACACCTTAGCTAAGCTTTTGTTGCAGGCCTGTATGTGTATACGTTCAGGCTCTCTGTTGATATTCTACATAATGAAGTAAACTTTAAACAAAAGCAGAATTGTGCCTCACATACTACTTTTCAACTTGCTTTTTTTAATGTTGCTCATGTATATTTCACTATGTATATATAGTATATGTTTCTACATACTGAAAAATATATATAATTTATTATTTAATTAGCTATATGCAATTCTAGTGCGTACGGTATTTCTACGTCCAAATTCCATTTGGAGAAGGATTAAGAACATAAACCCTTTGTTGCTTTCGACTAAGTGGATGCTCATTTCAGCAAATAATTCATGTGCCTAATCTCTTTTCCCTGTTAGTTAAATGGAAGATTGAATTATCCAAAGTGGTTCAGAGTTACATTTTAATTTAAATATGAAGTAGTTATAACATTTGAAACTAATTTTTAAGTAAGTAAAACAGCATTTTCATAACTTTATAGAGTCTAAGGTTTGGACCTCGTTTGAAAGGTCACCTGGAGAGCCACCTGTTCATGTGCAAATCTTCCCTACATCATCGAAGCCAGAAGGTCATTAAGCATCAGGTTGCTTATGGTCAATGACAGGAGAATCCCTATTTCCAGAAGCAGTAAATTCTTTCGAGACAACATGCTATAGTGGGCAAAAGTATGGGTTTGGGAGTCACCCACACCTGGGTTCAACTCCCTTCCTTTAAACCAGTAGATTTAGACATTAGACAACTTACTAAAATGTCTCTATACCAGCTACACTGTGGCTTATGTTAAAACGATATGCTCAGATTTAAAGCATCGCTCTTGATCCAAAAAGCTTGTGGAATTTAGAAAAATCCCTTTCTCTCTTTACAGAGCTGGAATTTCAAGTCTATGGCTTCCCTGTGGATCAAAAGAAGTCTAATAAGAAACTCAGAGCCAAGCAAAAGCACTTTGGGCAAGGTTGTACTGTCCCTCTCCTGAAGAAATGAATGATTTTTCTTTAATGGGAGGGGCGCCTGAGGGCAAGAGAATGTCTAGGGACTGAAAAAGACTTTGGAAAATACTTAAAAAATACTATCCCCATCCTCTGTGCTTGGGTGAGCTGTGTTGCCCACTCCTCACTGACCCCAGAGCTCTGTGTCCAGCTCTCATCTCTCTCTTGCGAGGCAGTCCTATAATGTAGGCTGTTAGCTAGTTATCTTTATTTGCATTCATCAGTTCTTCACATTTCTGATCACCTTTTCTCTGCCAGATTGATACTGGTGATGAAAAGATGAATAAGATATTGTCCTTCGTTAAAAGATAAATTGAGGCATATTAAAAATGTTAAGAGCTTATTTGAGCAAAAATCAATTCGAATCAGGTAGTACCAAACCGGAAGCGGTTAGGAGCTCGGGGAGAGACTAATATAGAGAAAAGACAGAAGCATAGTAAGGAAATTATTGATTGGCTATAGCTTAAAGCCTAGTTGGTTGCTCGTGACTGATTGTCCTTAGGGTTAGATTTCGTAACCTTGAGGCGTTTACAGGCTTACATTGTGGTTTGTTTATATAGGTGCCACAGTATTAGAGCCACCTCAGTCTAATGGCCTCCTTGTTTGATTAATTTAGTGTCTTGCTCTTAAACCCTTCTGGGAGAGCTGGACAAGTGAAGAGGGAACCTTAGGATCACATGCGAAGGCCATGGAATGCTGGAGCAGATGATGCTCAGACCAAGCCTTGCTGGAGTCAACAGTCAGGCCTTGGCGAGCAGGAGGGGTAAGACGTGAGTATTAGTGGGTGTATCTTGGAATGAAGAGAAATAAAGGAAAAAGCATTCCAGGCATAGTGATCAAAACCAAGACACTTGAGAGAACATCTGTTTCTAGGGAGCCACAGGCAGGGCAGTATGAATGGTGTGCAGAGAATAAGCAAGCTGTGATGAGAGATGAAGGCACTAGCTTTTTATTGCTGCCATAATAAATGACCACAAATGTAGTCTTTTCAAACAACACAATTTCTTATCTCCCAGTTCTGTTGGCCAAAAGTCCAGCATGGCGAGTCTTAGCTGCCTCCTCTGCTTAGAGTTCCACGAGGCTGATATTAAGAGTTGGCAGGGATGACGTCCTTTCTGAAGGCTCTGGGGAAGACTTGGCTTCCAAGCTTATTCAGGTTATTGGCCTGAGGTCTCTGATTCCTTGCTGGCTGTCGGCTGGGGATCACATTTATCTTCTAAAGTCCTCTCTCTGGTTCTTCCACGTGACCCTCCACAACTCAGGACCAGCAGTGGAGCATCAGATCCTTCTCGTTTTGGAATCTCTCTGCCTTCCCCTTCTGCCTTCCTCTTCAGGCTGAGACAGCTTTCTGCTTCGAGTGCTCACGTGATTAGATTGTGCCCACCCAGATGATACAAAACAAACTCCCCATTCTCCAGGTCTTTAACCTAATCACACCTGCAAAGTCCCTTTGCCATGGGGATAAGGACATGGGCATCTTTGGGAGGCGTTACTCTGCCTACCACAATGTGGAACATTGAGATACTCTCAAGGGATGTGCGCGAATACATGTACACATGTCAGGATTCTTTAGTGAAATTTGGGAAACTCTGAATGATGTACTCATTTCTTAAAGAGTCAAAAAACATGTTTTTATGTTAAAGACACAATAAGGAAACTTGTGTAATTTTTTCCCAGGGTTTCCCAAGTTTGTTTTACCTTAAAACCTCTTTCTCCTTGAAAATTCCTTGTTAACTTTCTCAGAACTGGTGGTATACAGCCCAGGCTTTGGGAAACTGAGTTAGAGGCCCACTCACCAAGATATTCCTCAGTCATGCGTCGAAGTCTAATATTGTCTTGCAGACTTGAGGGTCAGTGCAGAACTTTTCGCAGGGAAATACATAATCAAGTGTGTTTTAATAAGAATCGTCTGGATACAAAGGAGAATGAATGGTAGGAAAGATAGAGGTGTGGTGGGAGGGAGAAAGGTTGGAAGCCGGAAGTAGGATTGTGAGCAAGAAATGGTGTTAGTCTGATTCAAGTAGTTAGGTAAGATGGGAATAAGTGAAAGTATTTAAGGATACTACTGAAGTAGAGGAAACATATGCGAAAACCAATTTATGAAATGGAAAGGCTAGGGGAAGTTAAGGATGATCTATCCCAGGTGTCTGAATGAATGTGCTTTTGACACATTCCTTTAAATGTGCTCATTGGCGATGAGGCTTTAGGCTTTGGGGAGTGAATTTGAGGCCAAGACTGGCCTTCACTCTCCCCATGTCCCTTACTCTCCGGAGATTCTTCCTTGACAGGCCATGCCCTTGCAGTCTGATCCTCGCCCCACTACTTCCTCTGCCTGGTGCACTCTCTCTTCTCCCCTGGGCCTCATGTTGGTCTGGCCAACTGATCCTTCATTTCTGCATTTCAGACTCGATATTACTACCACTAGGAAGACTTCCCATCCAACTGCATCTGTTGCCTCCATCTATTATGACTCTCATCAGACTGTTTTATGATCAATTTTCTTGTCCTCCCCTATAAAGTAATTTCTGTAAGTGAAGAACCATAAATTAATTGTTCATTTCCATTCATAACACATTTCGTGGCACAACATACAGGCTTAATAAATATTTACTTGATGAATAAATTAGCTATTTCAACTGAGTAAGAGGATTTGGGGTAAAAAATAAGATGTGGCTACAAACTTTTCCAACTTCTTTCTAATATAAGAGCCATTTATTTTCGTAAAGACTAGGGATCATTGAGATAAGTTGATAGAAAGGATAACCTGGAATTTTCCCCCTTAAACACAGATCCAGACAGTTGGCCAGTGATACAATGGATGTGTCCACCACAATACTTCCATTAACCACAGAAGCTCTGGCAACTTGTTTGATGTCTGCTTCACCTCCAGTCTCCCTCTGCCTGGCTTCCCATTGGGTTGAGATCATTCCTTGGGTGAGATTTTAATATGCATCAAAATGGGACACAGCTGTTGAAAAAAAGTGGCGCAATCCTACTTTACACCTCGTTGGCCATATAAGACTTGAAGCTTTTTAAATGTTCCCCACTTTCTGGTTGTGACTCAGTACATGAAACTGCTTTTCTAGTGTTATGGAAGGGCAGCATTTGGACTAAGGGGAGTGCTGGTAGCTACTTTGAAAAGGATGAAATTCATGGGGCTGCCCCAGTGGCTGAGAGGTTAAGTTCGTGCGCTCCGCTGCAGGTGGCCCAGTGTTTCGTTGGTTCAAATCCTGGGCGTGGACATGGCACTGCTCATCAAACCACACTGAGGCAGCGTCCCACATGCTACAACTAGAAGAACCCACAACGAAGAATATACCACTATGTACCGGGGGGCTTTGGGGAGAAAAAGGAAGAAAATAAAATCTTTAAAAAAAAAAAAAAAGGATGAAATTCATTTGGGAGTTTAAGGTTTGCTGTGTCAGATTTTAAAACTCAACATTTTTCATTTATAATCATATCTTCATGGAATGTAAATCTGATATTTGACTGAGCATTTTCAGGAAAGTTTAAAAATGAGCAAACCTAAAACAGGAATTTGATTTGTAGTCAAGTGGGACATGGTCTGAGGGGGTCATTTGTAAAATTCCTCACAAAGAGATATACCTGTTTCTGTAACTGTACTGTCTAACTCAATAAAATACCACACATTCAGTTTTTTTCTGACTGAACTGTGATAGGAGATTGACCTAAAAAGTAATCAGTTCACATCTGACTGGCGTGCAGTTGTTGGTCCTGTGGACACGTTGAGTTCAGGCTGCTTCAGTCATGGCGTGATAAGCTCTGCTCAAGGCCTGATAAGTTGGAAGACACAGGGCACCTCCTCTGCCAGACTACGCCTACAAACTCTGTGACATAGTGTCACGTTTGTCTGAAGATGCCAAACTTGGCCGTCAGTGATCCATGAAGCTAGTAGAGAGACACAAGCTGGATTTTAATGAAGGCTAGAGATTTCTAGAGTTGTTCATTAAAACGGTACCTGAACGAACACAATGGCACTCTTCATCCAACTTGTTTCAACTTTTAGCTATCCCTCTGGACCTTACCGGTGACCTGCTTCTGTCTTTATACACCTCCTATCCGTTGGTTGAGGATGGCCTAAATTCCAATTTTTCACACAACAGAAACAGAAAGCAACCAAAACTCCATTGTAAAGGCAAATTTTAGATTTTAAAAGGAATGGATAATCATTTTTGAGTAGCAGTGAGCCCAGGCTTATGAAAGAGGGCCAGCCTTGAAAATGACAAGATTTTAAACTAGCTGCAAATCAGAGGGCAATCTTAATTAACAGACAAGCAGTTGGAGCCTGTTGGTCTTGCATGTTGCTTTGCTGTTGAAAATGACGTAGTCATAAAGAGCAACCATTACCAGGAAGTTTTCCAAAATGAAGACAGCAAAATACTGTATAATGTGGATACTTTGCTTCTTCTGGCCTCAGGGTAATCCTGAAGGTCCTCAATTTATGTTTTTCTCATATTTCATATTCATACTTTGAGATGTTAAAATCATGGCCACAAAGTAAAAGTCACCAACACTGCTGAGCTTTCTCCAAAGACTCTTTCAGGGTGTTTTTCTTTGACATGGAACACAGAGCTGAAGGGAAGTTTGGAGGCCATTGATTTCATGCGTTAGATGATAAGACAGTGCTCTGGGACTATCTCCATGGGATCAGAACAGTTTCAAGGTGGTGTCGGAAACTACTCCGTCCCTCGTTCATTCTAACGTCTCTTTAGTTTCTAATCCAATCAGGCTTCCAGTGAATTTGGGGGCAGAGTACCCATCCAGGTTTCCAGGCTTGCAAGGGTCAGCTTGACGTGACTTGATTTACTGCCCCTGCCTGTGGAAGAGTTACCTGTCCTTGTCTCCTTGACATTGGGTTTGGCCAGATGAGTTGTGGTACCCCTAAACTTTGAACTGAGGTTTGGCCGCATGACTTGCCTTGGTTGGTGAGATACAAATGGAAGTGATGACTGTTCCTTCCAAGCAGAAGCTCTAAGAGCTATCTTGTGATTATCATCTCCCTTTGCTGTCTAACTAATATTAGTGTATCTCAGATATGCTCCTTCTGGAGCAAAGCTGCATCTGATGAACAGTCACATGAATGAAAGATAAACTTACTTTTGTTCTCCTCAGCACTGAGATAGTGGAGTCGATTGTCACCACAGCATCACTTAGCCTAAGTGGACTGGTAATCACCTAATCCTGAATGGCATCCTCTAGTAGGAACTGAAAAGTAGAAATTAACTCAACCATTGGACTGGTCAGAGATGAGGGTGGAGGTGAGAAGAGGAGGAAGCAGGAATGTGGCCCAGGGAGAGAAACGTATTTACCAAAATTCGGGACCAGAAGGCATGAGCATTGTGGGGAAAAAGGGGAAGAAGCTAAATCAAGGGACCAAGGCAAAAATCAATGATTCATGCCTTCTTTCTTCATTCAACAACTATTTATTGAGCATCTACTATTTTCTAGGCAATGGTCTAGGTGTTGGGGTGAAAGCAGTGAACAGTGGAATGTGTTAGTTTTGTTCACTATCGTGCACCCAATGCCAGGAATAGTCCTGCGCCTATTTTAGGAACATAAATACTCAATAGTGTCTTACTGAATGAGAGGGCACCTTGTAGGAGCTGGGTCTTACAGTGAAGTAAAAAACCTGGCATCCCAGTTAAGACTTAAAGTGTAGCATGGTTTGATGCCAAATAACAAATGGGTGAGCATCAGGACTGAGCCCCAGATCTGGTCCTATAGGAGAGGTATAGGTGCTTTGCAGGTGGTGACAGAGGTGAACAGAAACTGAGACATAAGTGATATGCAGCTGGATGATCCTCCTAAAGCCAGGAATGCATCCTATGCCCACATTCTCAGAGGAATTTTGTGCTCAAGCTGACTGAGTGGTTCTACCCCAGGGGAAAAGGTCAAGAGCATGGTCTTTAGAATCAGGCATAGTTGCATGCATTCATTTACTACATGACCACGGGTACAATGTTTACCTTCCCCACGTTTCCTCTTTTTTAAGATGCGGTTAATTGTACTTAAGGCATATCAAATTAAATGATGCGTGTGATTCAGTATATTGCATAGCAAGTAGTGAACACTTCCTAGGTGATGGTAGCTGATACTATCAACTGTCATTGCGAGTATCACTGTTGTCATTATTTTCATCTGAGTGCCTCGCTCTCCCTGGCAATTCGACCGAGTGGCTTGGCATTATGGAATTTTGCTTGGCCTATTTAGCTATATAAATATAAATATAATCCAACACTGGCTTTATTCTATTATATAACTGAAACCTTCTTTTCTCAATAAGTGTAAATTGATGACAGTGGCAGGAGAAAGAATTAAAGGTGACCACTTCTTATACTAAAACAGAGACGATCAGCTTTGAATTTAGTCTTTTCCCACTTTTAACAACAGTAATTATCGTGCTAGGGATTTTAGAAATATAAGAATGAAGGAGACAGACACTGACCTCGAAGAATATTCATTGTAATAAAAGAAGTGAGACCCAGACATTAAATGAAATAGAAGTGATAAATATCATACAAAGGAGTAGTGGTACAATTGGCAGCTCAGAGGAAGCTGGATTACCTCCAACTGGGAAGGCCCCATGGAGGGAACAGCATGTGTGGTGGGCCCCGATTTTGAACAATGAAGATGGACCTGTGTTTTCGGAAGAAGGAATAGGTTTGGTCAATTTGTGGAAAGGCTTTGTCACGGCCTGGGCGCCCCTGGAAACGGATGTTGAGATGGAGACCTGTGTGTTTTATTTTACATTTATTGGAGTATGCCTAGAGGGGCAACATTTCTAAGGGAGAAGGAAGTGAGACAAGCAGAATTGGGTAGAAGGAGTGGTTGAACTGTGATGCAGCTGCAACAGAGGCCAAGCCAATGCCATGAGGAACTCTGAAGCTGAGATGGCCCTTTAGAGACATCCTGGGTGGAGGCAGAGGGGTGGGCTGGGCCTCTATATCTCGCAGTGAGTCATCGAGTGTGAGTTGCCCCAGAGGCAGCTCCCTTCAGCCTAGGCAGTTCCTGGGGCAGGTCCCAGCTGTGAGCCATCAGCAGGCAAGCAGCTGGGCAGCTGGAATAACTATAAGGGGGACCTGGGCGGCACACTGTAGCGTGCTCTACAGTTTTGGATGTTGACGTAGGGAGATGGGACCTTGTGTTAGTTTTCTAGGGCAGCTATGACAAAGAACCACAGACTGGGTAGCTTAACAGAAATTTATTTTCGGACAGTCCTGGAGGCTTGAAATTCAAGATCAAGGTGTCAATGAGGTTGTTTCAAGCCCATCTCCTTCGCTTAAAGATGGCTGCCTTCTCCCAGTGTCTTCACGTAGTCTTCCATCTGTGTGTGTCTGTGTCCTAATCTCCTCTTCTTACAAGGGCACCAGTTATACTGCATAAGGGCCCACCCTCATGACCTCAGTTAACCTCAATTACCTATTTAAACACCCTATCTTTAAAAGAGTCAGATTCTGAGGTACTGGGGGTTAGGACTTTAACATATGAATTTTGAGTGGACACAATTTAGCCCATAGAAGACTTCATTTGTTTGGAGAAAGAAGAATATTAGAGGTTTTCTCAGGGTGAATACTTACTAAAGGATGTGCTTCAGAAATCTGTGAGTAATGAGAACACGGATGGGAAGGAGAGAAAAAAGATGGAGGCTAGTTGGGAAGCCACTACTTCAATTCTGAAATAAATAATAAAACCTGAACTAAAATAGTGACAGCAGTGATGGAAAACAGAGAAAAGATGCAAAGGATTTCTCAGAGTAAGCCTTGTTGGGACTCTCTAGTGGGTTGGATGTGGGGAGCAAGGAAAAGGCAGAGGTTGAAGATTGGCAGCTTGGATAAGCACCTTCAACAGAACAGGGCACATGAGAGTAGGAAACATTTGCATGCAAGCAAAAGAAAAAAAAAAGTGATTATTTGCAACACATTAGGATTGAGATACCAACAAGATCTCCAGGTTGAAATGTCTAATGCAGATTGGAAATAACGGGTGAGAAGGTTGGAGAGATACAGTATTAGACATGTGGTTCTGGGAGTCACTTGTGGGTTAGCACAATCTTTAGTTTGCATGAGATTCCCCACGGAGCCTGTCAAGAGCAACAAGAGGGTGAATGACTGGTCAGGAGGTGATGTCAACATCAAGACAAACAAGGAATGGTAAACAAAAGAGGAAATAAAAGAAGGGACAGAGAGGGGCAAGGGAAGCAGAACAAGAGAACGTGCGTTAAGCCAATGGAGAGGGTTTCCAGAGGCACACGTGGTTGCTCCTCAGTTATTTGTTAGATAAATGGACCAGTGGATAAATGGCTAAATAAGCAAATACAAATATTTTCAGTCATGAGCCTTGTGTTTCCCGCAGGCTAACAGACCTGTTTGTTTACCTTGTAAGTTAGCTTTCTGAGAACAAAGCAGTGGAATTTTCCGAGGTGTCAAATTCTAAAGAATAGAATTTTGTCATCCATTCTCCTCCTCAGATAAATGTTAAAATGGAAACTCTACCTAGCACTCTGCTGGAATTCACAACATGTAAGGGAACTTGCTGGAAGCTAGAATGGTCTGGTTCTATCTTCTGGGTGTGGGTGGTGGGAGGGGGTGGGTTTCTATCAGAGGGTTCCTCGCCCAGCTGATGTTTGGGATGTTTGCTGGGAAGTGGGGTCTAAGGGCCTCTCTGTCTGTGTCTTCCAGCCGGTCATGAGGTGCCCCCACGCTCTGGGCTTCCTGAGGGCAGGGACCACACTTTATTTATCTTATGCCCCAGGACCTGGAACTGTGCCTGGCACACAACTAAAAATGAATCTCTGTCCACCTGAACCTCACCATCTGTGGGATATGAGAAGCTCAGCATCAGAGGCATGAGTTGCTTCAGCGTACTGGCTATGCTCATTAGCCCCTAGAGTTTTAGCACATTTCAGTGGAGATTTGAGCTTCAGTGAATCTATGAAATTTTGTCATGTAAATAATCCCTTTACAATTTTAAACAACTGGGTGTAGAAAGTTACTTAAGACTGGGATGGTCCGCTTGGTCGCCTAGCCAAAGAAGATAGGTGACTTTCCATACTGTTAGAACCTCTGAACTCTTCCTCTTTATGCATCTGTAATGCATAAAACTTACTACTCCAAAAATATTTGTTGAATTAGCGAATTAACACAGCTCCTGAGAATTTAGCTGCAGAGGCTACAGTTTGACTTGCTTTTCTTCCCCGTCTATCTGAAGTAATCAATATGCTCAATAGGGTGTCCATGAGGACATTCGAAAGTCATCCCATGGTGTGTGCACAATTCGTTACTCTCTCGATTTCATCCTGTCTGCGACCTGAGAAGGACTGACTGGGAAGTGATTGTAAATGTCGCATCTCCACTTGTCTAAGTTTAGATAAAATTGCAAGTATCTTACAATAGCTGTCTAAAGACAATGGGAAGTAAAGTTTAATAGAAGATAATGACTTTAAGATGATATTATTAGCATCTCTTTTTCTTTGTAATTCATGTCGAATAAGTCTAACCAAGTCTATCATTCCTCTCGTTTTAAGGTAGATATTGAGAGGAACCTCGTATCCTTTTACACATCCTGCTGTTTCTCTTACGGCCAAAGGAGCTCTAAGTCAATGTTTCTGCTATTCCTTGCAGAGATGGCTCATTGCAGCATATATGGCCTAATCAAGCCTGTAGCCATTGGTATAAAAAGTAGGAGAATCCACATAAAAATCTCATTTTTATCTTTTCTTAAAAGATGGATCTGGAAACTGGGCTGCACTCCCAAGTGGTCATATCTGTTGGAGCTGAGTAAATGGCTTCTCCCTTTGCTGGGTTGTTCCACAGTCCCCATAGCCGAGGTTTCTCTGCTTCCCGGGTGAGGCCTGCTCAGCCCTTGAGGGCTTCGGAGTTTTCCAAACCCTGCCTCACTGGAGATCTACGATGGGAGTTATCGTCATTTCTATTGTGTTATTTCGCTTTCTCTGTGTGACTCTTTGCTCGGAATCTTAACCAAAACAAGGTTGTGTTTCTTACAGTACCACTTTTTTATTAGAGTAGATCTCTTATGAATAACTACCGGCTTTCTATTTTTCACTTTAGAAGGAGTCACAGCGTTTCTCAACAACAGAACCTTCTCCTTAGGTCTGGGTATGTTTATAAATGTTCCAAAGAGATCGTCCTAACAAAACTCTCAACAATGTTCATTTTGAGGCCTTGTGAACCTTTGAGCTGCAAAAAGAGGGGCATTAAATCATAGAGAGAGTTGAGCTATAAGTGCAGGGAGAGAAAATGTGGTTCTTTTGTGCATGACTGCCAAAATGATACTCTGGTACTCCATACCACTAATGGTTTCTCAATCTGGAAAGAGACGCAAGTTTAGGAACTTACTTCAGGAATCGATATTTCTGGGCTAGGTTCAAGTTTTGCTTTTATCTCCTGGAGTAGGGATTTGCTGTGGTTGGGCCAAGTTCTCGGCCAAATCTTGGTCCTTCTCTAATGGAAATTGGATGATTGGACATTTAAGGGGAAGTGAAATTTTCCCATATGGGTTTGATAATCCGCCAAAGGTGAGCACAAACCATCCTAATGGAACAATTTGGCTTGTGCCTGCAGGTCGTTCTATCCTCAGCGTCCTCTCTTGACCACCAAGGCTAACATAGGTGCCCCTCCTGTGTGCTCCATAGAACTCTGTACGTGCTTCCGAAACAACATTTGCACACTATTTGTTAAGTGCTTACCTTCCCACCTATCTTCATCTGACCCTTGAGATTCTAGAGGGCAGTGACTTGCCCTTCATCACTCCGTCCTATTATCATTTACAAGGAATCTTGATTTAATGACTAAGACTCAAATTATTCCCTAGACATGAGATTCAATAGCCTTCATCAGACTCTTGGATCAAAATAATGTTCTCTGAACACCACTCTTTTAAATCAGGTCAAATTTACCCAATATTCTGTCAAATAAATCCCCAATATGGGAATAGATGAAACAATTTTCATTTTTGCTTTTACTTACAATATTAATTGAGGCTCCCAATATGTTCTCCCATATTGCTCCTTAGGGAAACTACAAAAATGTGATATGTGTTCTTCTGTATCATTTAAGATTGGATTTGGCTCTGTGTGATAAGGATCGTAAACAACTACAGCATCTATAAACTTTCAAAATTATACTGTCTTATAAAAACAGAATGAGTGTTTGTCTTTCACATAAAATAAATCTGGAGATAGTCGTTGAGGGCTGGAAAGGTAGTTGCTGAGGTCTGTACAATTTTCAGGGCCTTGGGACACTTCTATCCATGTCATCTCTAACTCCGGCCATATCCTCTTCATCCCAGCCAACAGGATGAAGAAGAGGAGAGGAAGGGTTCATCACTTCCACTTTAATGAGACCTCCTAATACCTCAATATTGTTGCTTATATCTTTTTAGCTGGAACTTGGCCAATGGCTGTACATGGCAACCAGGCAGACAGAGAAATGTGCATTTAGCCGAGTGGTAATGTGCCTTGAAATACAAATATTGTGTTCTTTCTGCTTGTTTCAGTTTTTGTCTTCTTTTCTAAAGAAGAAAAGCAAAGAGGAGAATGGATGCTGCAAAGTGACACTCTCTGTCATACCTTCCCCAATTAATTTGTATAAAGATATTAATATTTATATTAAGATTTTATTTTAATATATTAAATGTGAATATTTCCTTTAAATCTATTAATGTGGAAATATATTTATTTTTACAAAATTAGGTCATATGATAGAAATTGGTCTGATTTTAATGTTATCACTTAAAAAAAAAAATCTATGGGGACCAGCCTGGTGGTGCAGTGATTAAATTCGCAAGTTCTGCTTCGGCCGCCAGGGGTTCACTGGTTTGGATCCCAGGTGTGGACATGGCACCGCTTGCCAAGCCATGCTGTGGCAGGTGTCCCACATATAAAGTGGAGGAGGATGGGCATGGATATTAGTTCAGGGCCAGTCTTCCTCAGCAAAAAGAGGAGGATTGGCAGCAGATGTTAGCTCAGGGATAATCTTCCTCAAAAAAGAAATCTATGACTGAATAATTTTCTGTAGAATGCAGGTTCCATTACTCAGGTAGTCATTTGCATCTTTGCTGTTCATTATCTGTTTGCTCTTCTTGGGTTAATAGCTCAGATTTTCTTCTGGGGATCTACTGATGGTTCCAGTAGGGTAGTCTCACCTCTCCATCCCATAGCTCGAGGTCCAGCAGTTGTAAGTGATTCAGGCTTGGGCAATCAGAGCCTGGGCTTCCTCTGGTCTCAGTGGTTGGTTGGAGAATGGGTGTGACACCATCAAAGTTAACGAATGATGATGAGATATTTGCTGAGGCTTCTGGAACTGAAAGGGCTAATCCTTTCCCTCTGTAGAGTAGCTGGAAACTTGTTGCCCAAGCTGCCATCTTCATCTGGCCATGTAGGAGTCATATGAGAATAAGACCTCACACAGAGGGCAGCAGGGATGAAAAAGAGAAGAAACCAGGCCCTAGCAATTTTATTTACATCCTGATCAAACCTTTCCTGATTTCAATCCTAACTCTGGACTTTTCAGGTATGTGGGATAATTAATTTTATTTATTTATTTATTCTTTTTCCTGCTTTATTTCCCCAAACCCCCCGTACACAGTTGTATATCTTAGTTGCATGTCCTTCTAGTTGTGGGAGAATTAATTTTATTTTGAATAAGCCAATTAGATTTGGGTGTTCTGTCACTTATGACATTTAATTGGAAGGGATCAACTCCAAATTATCATTAGATAAAGATGGTGAGGAATTACTAATAACTTCCCCATGTTTCTGAGTTGATAGGAGAATGCTATCTTTTTTATTAGAAAACCGATGCCTTTCTATGAACTCATTCTCTGATTAGAGAAGCAGAACTTTTTGCCCGAGTGAAAGGATCAGAAATTCTTTCAGTAATATGAAAAGTAGTAATCATGTTGGAAATGTTTGCATGACTGGAATGGCTCCATCTCATACTCCTAACGTGTTTGCCATCCAAAGGTCATTTCAAAGGTCAGACACAAGACAACTACATAATTAGTGCTTTAAAACGATCTTTTGTCTTGTAAGAGTAAGAAGTAGGTTTTCCTTCCTCCACTCTTTCTCCTCCCTCCACCTGAAGAATGCCCTTATTCTCACCACAGGCCGGTTCGGGCGCTTGGCTTTCGTCACACGCTGACAGGTTTTTGTTTATCTTATGTGAGAAATGGACAAAAGGAAACAGAAAACAGATGAATAGGCAAAAGTATGAATAAACAACTCCAGCAGCTGAGTACCAGATGGCTTCAGGGCCTTCATGAGGACACAAATTGATTTCCCGAGATTTCTGGAAGGAGATTCTTAATGTTTTTCTCAAGCAACAGTTATGGTGATAGAATAAAAATGATCTCATCATTGACTGTAGCCTTCTGTAAAAAAAACAAGGAAAAGGTTGTTTTAAAGAAGCAAATAACGGCATAATTGTTAAGTTATCCTTCATCCTCTCATTTATATTACAATACTTCCAACAACCATTTGCTGGGTGCTCTTTGTTACAAACAGTGGGGTGCTGGGGATGCAAGAGGAACAAAATGACTCCCCCTGTCCTTGAGAAGTTCTTAGGTGGGTTGAGGAGAATGTCTAGCGCAAACATACATGCTAACGCACACGGGAGGAATCCACCGGGAGGTTGTGGAGCACATGCGGCAGACAGTGGTGTGCGGTGTGGGAAGGGCAAATGGCACCGGCTGTAGAAGCAGGCAGACTAGACTGATTCTTGAGTGGCTCTGCCCTGACTTAGCTCTTCAGAGCTTCAATTTTTCCTTGTAAACTTAGAATAATACTTATACCTTTATTTACCCAGCCAACATGTATTAAAAGCAGCCTCTGGTCTCCAGACACGTGGAACAGAATGAGAGGGCCAAGGAAGAAGCACGTCCTTCCGGTAGGAGGGCCTGAAGACCTCACTTTTCTCAGAGGCCACAGTAAGATTGATGGATTGATCTACTTTCTGTGAGGAAGATTGGCCCTGAGCTAACATCTGTTGCCAATCTTGCTGTATTTTATGTGGGACACTGCCACAGTATGGCTTGACAAGCAGTGCTAGGTCCATGCCTGGGATCCAAACCTGTGAACTCCGGGCCACCAAAGAGGAGTGCACAAACTTAACCACTACACAACTGGGCCAGCCCCTCCTTAGGGATTTATTAAGAAGGCAGCTGTGGTTGGAGTTAACACACCCTGGAGCCAGATTCCTGTGTGAAAATTCCAGCTCTGAGCTTGCTGTGTGATCTTGGGCTTTACTTAACCTCTCTGTGCCTCAAATTCCTCCTTTGAAAACTGGGGACAACAACAGTAACAGTCTTATAGGGTATTATGAGAATTAAATGAATTAGTAATATACATTGAGACTACTACAGGGCCTGGCACCTACTAAAGCACAAAATAGTGAGTGTCATGAAATAAAATGAGATAAGTACGGAGTGAGGCTTGTGACTCACAAAAATTGTCTAGTAAACATTGTGTTCCCTGTGGAACAGATAAGCACAACATATCATCTTAAAACAGCTTATAAATGAGATTTTTGATGGGATAGTAAGGTAAGTATCACAAGTAACAAACGGTAAAATTTTCTCACCTTGAACTGGATTATTTTATCATAGAAGGCACTAAGTGGACTGGGAAATCTAAGAGACTTATTTATTTATTTATTTACTTTTGAGGAAGATTAGCCCTGAGCTAACATCTGCCGCCAATCCTCCTCTTTTTGCTGAGAAAGACTGGCCCTGAGCTAACATCCGTGCCCATCTTCCCCTACTTTACATGTGGGATGCCTGCCACAGCATGGCTTGCCAAGAGGTGTGTAGGTCCTCATCCCGATTCCAGCAGGCCAATGTGTGGTGCGGAAGCTGAAGGTGAGAACCCACGCGCTGCAACACCTGTCTGGTCCCTAACAAACTTTTAATTTGGTTTTCATGTAATGAATTAATTGATCATTTAAATTAATTAATTATTAATTTTCTTATTGGGCGAAGCCTAAGAATTTTGTGAACCCCAGCCTCTAGTATCTTCTTTCTGGATTTTGCAACAAGACAATCCAGGTGCTTGTGCTGCAGATTTAGGAAAAGAGCAGACTATCAAATTGAATGAGGAGCCCGGGCGTGGCTCACACATGAGGTCAACCAAGAGTCTACACTTCCGAGAGATCCTCTGCGATGGCTTTTGAGATCCGGGATACAGGTGCACGCTGTCTTCAGGACACCCCGTTTTGCTCGGGCGCTCTCTTTCTCACGTTGGCTGTGGAGGTCTGCCTACCAGGGCGCTGGCGCAGACGCTTCAGAAGATCCTCGTCCCTTTGGGACGAGAACGTTCGTGCAGCGGCTGTGCTGTGATCAGCAATGCTAGGGCACTGGGCCTTCTCCAGACGGAGGGACTCACCAGCCTGCAGGGTTCTGGGGAAGAGAGGCTTCGCAGGGCACCATGGCGTGGTTTCTGCAGCGCCGCGCCACGCGCCGGGGGCACGTGGTGCCCAGGGTCCTGGACGCCCGTTTCTGCCTGGGAGGCTCGCCTTCAGCGTTTACAGCTCTGCAAGGACCTGCGTCCCGGGGTAAGCTGGACTCATGCCTGGAGGTGAAAGCTCCTTTAGATATTGCCGTTCTTTTGTTGCTGTTGTTTAGCTCTTTGACGAGGAGAAAGCACTATGGTCGCCTGCTGCCTCTGCGCCCTTGGCTGAGGGCTTGGCATCCTAGAACTGTTCGAGATAGGACGGCCTTCCAGCTGTGCTGAGTGCAATAAAATGGCACCTTCGGGAGTGACGCTGGACCCGATGGAATCTAGCATACAAGCAGGAGGAAGTTTGGAGCCTGAGTCCTTTCGCACAGACCGCATGGAAACAGCGGTGCCCCCGTGGCCGCTCTGCCCCGGCCAGGGCACCGCGAGCTCCCGTAGCACCCAGGGCTTCACACGGCTTTCCGGGCAACAGCGTCAGGTCTCCGATTATTAACCAAACTTTTTCTTATATTCGCCTCCCAACAAAAGCCTAATGCTTTGTTCAGTGACTCCATTTTTTTTTTTTTTTTTTTTTTGGATAAGAAAAACGAAGAGTCAAAAAGGACAAGCTCTGATCCAAAGCCACATTGCCGGTAAAGCGTTCTGACCCCAGCCTCCCCGACTTCAACACGCAGCCTCTTAATCCTCCTATCCCCCAGAGTTGGCTCACAGTGGAACGAGCCTGGTGAGGCCCATACAAATGTATTTTAAGGTATATAATTTATTCCCAAGTCAATTTTATCATTTTAAACTTATTTATATTTTATTATTATTGTTTCGTTGTTGTTTGGTTTAACAGAGGATCAGAGGAAAGGATCTAACCAAATCCCCACGATGAGAAGCAGTCCCTGGTAAGCAGCAACTTGTGACGTCTCGGCCACTGAGGTCCTGAGAGCGTTGTCAGTTGGAGGCAGCCTGCGCGTCCCAGGCCCTGTGCTCCCTGCTCCCCGCGACCCCGCCTCCTGCAGGGCAACGAGAGGCAGCCCACAGGGAGGGGAGCAGGGAGGCCAGCGATTTTGCTTAAAGAGAGCACAGAGAGACTGCCATCAGCACGTAGATTTCGGTGTGTTTAGCAGCTTCTGGTCTCACTTGTTTTAAACTGACAGCCAACAAAAACAGGGCTGATAAGAGCAATCCCTCAAAATGACCCCGGCTGGCAAGTGAAGAGAAGCAGTGTTTGTTTGTGTACAAAGTGCCTCTGCAGGAAGACAAATGTTCCCCTTCTGCCTGGTAGTGGGGGACAATTCTGAGAGACAAGTTGACTTTGGAAAACAAAAATTAAAAATGCTTTAGGGTTATTATCAAGAATTTCCTTTAGCCGTGAACACAGAATATGATGTAAAGACTGTCCACTGTATTCTAGATTTGCATTTTAAAGATGCCAGATGGAAAAGCCTATTTCATTCTCTTTGAGGTTTTCCTATCGTGTGGTCATTTATAAACATGTAATGAGGACCTCCTCTGTGCCATGTGCTAAGGAGGTAAGAACGGAATGGTTTTTTCCACCTTAATCAGACATGTAAATTAATTCAATTTATCAGAAATTTGCTAAAATGGGCTGTGTTCGTTGGGACAGGCTAGCTGATGTTAACAAGCTGCCTCGGGATTCCAGTGTCTTATGTCACTGCCCCATCAGTCTGGAGGGCCTGCCCTGTGGTCATTGAGGGACCCAGCTCTTTCCAGCTCACGCTTCGCCTTCCTCTGTGTTCGCCGAGTCCTCTCCCTTCTGTTAGCGGATGGGGAGAGAGACGGAGAACTGTTCTTAGGAGGTTTCTGTGGGGCTTTCCTGGAAGTGGCACAGATTACATCTGCTCTCTATCCCTTAGCCAGAATTCAGTCAGACGGCCTCATCTGAATGCAAGGGAGGGTAGAAAACATAAACTAGAAAGAAAAGGAGAGCCTGAATATTGGCATACACTAGAAACTCTGACATGGAATTATGTTCAAAGACCAATGTCTGAACGATCTCATTTTAGAAGGGTGAAAGTTGATGTTGACTGAGGCCTTCACAGTTGGAGACCAAATAAGGCTCCTTATTCTTTGCTAACAGATTCCTGATTTTGTTTGGTGGGCCCTGCTCCAGGTGATAAACTGTTAGTCTGCCAGGCTTATTGCGACAATTCTGGTTCTACTTGGCTGACACACATTTTCAGCTTTTTTTGCAGCTAACGGTGGCAATAAGGTGTAAGTAGATATCTAATGAGCTTCTAAGAAAGCCGTTTCTTTCTTTCTTTTTTTTTTTTTTGAGGAAGATTAGCCCTGAACTAACATCTGCTGCTAATCCTCCTCTTTTTGCTGAGGAAAACTGGCCCTGAGCTAACATCCATGCCCATCCTCCTCTACTTTATATGTGGGACGCCTACCACAGCGTGGCTTTGCCAAGTGGTGCCATGTCCACACCCGGGATCTGAACCGGCGAACCCCGGGCTGCCAAGAAGCGGAACGTGCAAACTTAACCACTGCGCCACCAGGCAGGCCCCAGCAGTTTCTTTCTAATAAAAGGAGCAGGCCCAGGAAACAAGCTTGGTCTTATATCCTCTTCTCCTTGCTTCTTGCATTTGACTATGATGAGAGAACCAGTGTTTGGAACTGTGGCAGCCATTTTGAGAATGAGATGAATCCTGCTGTCCCAGTGTGATTATTGATAACGCACCCTTTCATACTCAAAAGTGTCCTGAATTAGACAACAAATTGGGCAGTCCCAGAAAGAGCTTCAGATGCTGAAGGTGATAAAGAGGAAAGGGCGATAGCATCAACCGTGTGAAGTGGCTGGCCCAGCTCTAGGTGATTTGTCTCCTGAGTTCAATTTGAAGTAGACAGCAAGTGTTTCATATTTAAGCCTATTTAGTCCAGGCTTCTGTTACTTTGAGC